CTGATTTCACATATATGTGTCTAAAAACAAAATGAAAACAAGCTCATTGATAGAGCACACTAGTAGTTGCCAGAGTCAGGGGGCAGGATGGGTGAAAGGAGACAAAAGGAAGAAACTGCCAGTAATAAAATAAGTCCTGGGGATGTAATGTATAGCATGGTGACTCTAGTGAGTAGTACTGTATTTACAAGTGAAAGTTGCCGAGACAGAAGATCTCAAAAGTTCTCGTTACAAGAAAAAGCAACCCGCTGGGGCGCCCGGGTGGCTTAGTCGGTTAAGCGTCCGACTTTTGCTTAGGTCATGATCTCGTGGTTCGTGGGTTCGAGCCCCGCGTCGGGCTCTGTGCTGACTGCCAGCTCAGAGCCTGGAGCCTGTTTCAGAGTTTGTCACTCCCTCTCTCTCTGACCCTCCCCTGTTCATGCTGTCTCTCTCTCTCCTAGAAATAAATAAAACATTTAAAAAAAGAAAATAAAAAATAAAACATTTTAAAAAGAAAAAGCAACCCGTTAATGGTGTGCAGACATTAACTAGCCTGGTCAGACATGTCGCGGTCTCTTTACAATGTATATACACATCAAGTCATTATGTTGCGGACCTGAAACTAATATAATGTGTGTCAATGATGCCTCAATAATAATAGCAATAATAATAATAATAACTCTTAATGTAGTCAAAACCATTACTCTGGGACATCTCTTCATTAGCTCTTTCTTTAGTACTCTTCTCTTTCTTCATTCCTATTACCATTCTCTTTCTTACTTTACTCCATTGTTTTGCTGGAGCATATCCTTAAGTAGCTTCCTGAAAACAGATGAAGGGAAGGGACACTTGTACAGACCCTACAGAAAGGTAATGTATTTAATCTGCACTCGCTCCTGGCACAAAGCATTCAATGGTTGACCACAGAATTCAAGGTTGAAAACTGTTGTCAACTGATCTCCTAGAGTTCAGTGTTGTTGCTACTGTGACATGCAATACCAACTATTTATTTGATCCACCTTTTCTCTCTGAAACCTTTTAGGATTCTCTCCTCCTCCAAGCTGTTGTGAAATTTTACATTTACTTTTTTTTTTAAATTTCAAGATCTCACTGGCTTTATTAAACGATTCATTCACGCATCAGGCAGCATCCCAGCTAGAAACAGAGATCTGAGATGCTGTGCAAAAATACTCACATGCCATGATGTGGGTTTAAGTTTTCTTTTCATTGATCCATAGACACAGGGAGGGACCTTCTAACCTGAAAGCTTGTGTTCTACAGGCCTGGGAAATTATGCTACACCATTAATCTGGCCATTTTCTCTGCTCCCTTTCCAATATTCCTATTATTTAATGTCAAATCGGCTGGATGAATCCACTTCTTTGATTTTTCTCTCCTGTTTTTCATTTTTTTGGTCTATCTGCCAGAAGTTTTTCTCAATGCTAACTTCCACTCTCTTATTGAATTATTTATTCCCATCTTATTTTTAACTTGCCAGACTTCTCTGTTACTCTCCGATTCTTACTTTACCATAGCACTTGGTCTTGTTCTGTGAATAAAACAAGATATTCCATGATCTAAGTCACCTATCTGAGTTTTCAAGTTTAGAGTCTCTTCCTCCTCCAGATGCCTTTTCTATTGTTGCTGCTGTCGTTAAGGCCCTTTGTAAGCGAGCCGCTCCAGAGATGTCCAGAGATCCTGGCTCTCCTTTCTTATTTCAGACTGAGACAGCTATGTGTGGACAAATGGAGCTTGACAACAGGCATGCCTAACTATTAAGTGAGGTTAGGTGCCGGGGTGGCTCAGTCGGTTAAGTACCCAACTTCAGCTCAGGTCATGATTTCACGATTCGTGGGTTTGAGTCCCATACCAGGCTCTGTGCTGACAGCTCGGAGCCTGGAGCCTGCTTCAGATTCTGTGTCTTTCTCTCTCTGCCTCTCCCCTGCTCATGCTCTGTGTGTCTCTCTCTCTCAAAAATAAACAAACATTAAAAAAAAATTTTTAAAGTGAGACAAACTGAGAAATTTGGGGAGGGGAGCCAACTATCATATCAATTAGCCTGTTTCTCAGTCTAATTTCCTCAGAATAGATTCTTCAAAGTACTGATTTACAGGGGTGTCAAAGCCTGCGGGGGGTGGGGGGTAAGTAATGATGCTGAGGGTGTCCCCAAATGGTATGCTGCCTTATCCCTCTGTCCTAGCCTACATCTTATGAGCTCAAGCCCAGAGCTCACCTTTTCTGGAGAGCAAATCTCCCCTATTCTTCCAGGCAGGGCAGGGCAGAGCCTGGCTGGGTGGTGTTGGAGAAAGAATCTGGGGGCACAGCTATAATCCCTGTTTTCAAATCTACTCCCCAGCCCTCAGAAGTACCCAGAGCCTCCAAAGCCTGAGTCTCTGGGGTTCTGAGATGTGACTGGGCTGCATTCTTCAGCTCTTCCCACCCCACCCCACCATCTGCAGGAGCTTGGGTCCCAGCCTCATCCAGTTTGCTGTCGGTTACCATTCACCCCTCCTCTTCTGATCTCAAAATTGTGTAGGTGTTTCTTCTTTGATGTCATCCCCTAACGTGTTCAGTTGTCCCTTGTAGATTACCATCCTCTCCAGTTCTTTCCTATCATCTTAGTAAAGTTCCAGGAGGGGCCAGATGCAAGTTGTAGGTTCAAGACACCATGCTAAGGTACAGAGCGCTATTGAGCCACACATTCCCCGCTGAGCACGCCATGTTTTTATTTCTGCCCCTCAACTCTGCTATTGGTCCGGTGGCTGGTCCATCCGTATCTTTCTCCCTTTGTCCATCTTCTAACCCTTAATGGGGGTGATAGGATTGAGATGAAGCTCACGTACCATCTCAAACCTCCCCACACTGTCTATGTCCATCTCTGGCTTGACACACACCACATCCACCACAATGTGTCAAATCAATCTGCCTTCAGTCCGCCTCCGTCCCTAGAGAAGAAGCAAGTAGGCAAGAACTATGTCTTTCCCAGTGTTCTGTCTCTAGTATGGAGAAAAACCATCTGGCACATAATAGATGCTCACTAATATCTGTTTAACTGACCCACTTCCAGTAAGCTCCATGTTGGAAACATTTTCATTTCCAAAGAAGTGCGCAAAAAAAAAAAAAAAAAAAAAAAAAAAAAAACCACCATTGCTCTGTTTATTTGCCAACATCCAAACAAGAAAGGCTAATCAGAGAGCACCAGGAAATGAAAACAGCCAGATGTGTTTGAGAGTAAAAGTCCAGGAACACAAAATAGCTTCCAACGGAGGTGATGTATGTTTTCTTAGCGATTCAAAATGAATGTATGTTTATTAGGCAGAGAGAGAGATTTAACAGGTTTCTCGGCTAATGCTGCAATTTGAAATCCATTTAAGATAATTTTCTTTATCTTGGATCTATTTTTCTCAGTAACCAAGATACTTAACTGATTTGTACAAAATCCATTTGAAAAAGGAAAAATCTACTCTAAGCAAGGACACACTCTAAAAGGGAAGAAGGAGACACTACAAATCTAACAGAAAACAAAGAACCCATTAAGCCAACGTGGACGCCTGCCTAGAAAATAGGTTTTTCCGCCAATGTCTTGATTCCATGACCAATCCCTCTTCTCCATTTCCCACGGAGAAAACAAATAATTCCCGAATCTGAGCCCGCAGAACAGACCTTTCACGCGACAGTCAAGATGCAAACCACTCGCTTAAGAGGTAAGACTCTCAAACAGAACAGTAGAAGTTGAAAAATCATGGTGTGTACTTTCTCACCCATCAGCTTGGCAAAGCGTTTTTGAAAGGTGAGTATGCAGTCTGGAAGGGACAGATACTATTCCAACAGAAGTGAGGATTGCCATGAACTTTCTAGAGGACAAGATCCCAATCTGTATCTAGGGTCTTCAAAAGTAGTCTTAGGATAACGCTATAAGAATTATACTTTTAAAAGTGAAGACTGAGAAAATAAATACCAACTCACGACACATAAAGATTTGAGTCAGAAGACATTCATCAAATTGTTATTTAGAATCATGAAAAACTGACAGTAAGCCAAATTTCCAACAACGGAAATAATGATGACCATAATGAATCATAATTAATAACTTCAGACAGTGCTCATGAAATAATATTAAGTGAGAACAGGATACTAACGATATATCACATAATCATAATCTGTATAGAACGTTGACTCAAAGGCAATATACTAAGATTTTACAGATTGTAGTCTCTAGGTAAAGATCATGGTGATCTTGTTTTTTACTTAAAACTTACTGTTGGGGTGCATGGGTGGCTCAGTCAGTTAAGCATCCGACTTCAGCTCAGGTCACGATCTCACAGTTCATGGGTTCAAACCCTGCATCGGGCTGTGTGCTGACAGCCAACTCAGAGTCTGGAGCCTGTTTTGGATTCTGTGTCTCCCTCTCTCTCTGACCCTCCCCTTTTCATGCTGTCTCTCTCTCAGAAATAAATAAAACATTAAAAAAAAATTTTTAATTTCAAAAATTTTTTAAAAATTTAAAAAAACCTTACTGTTTTAAGGTTGAGGACTTTCCTATATGTTTCTCAGTCCATTTTATAAAAATTTAAATACTTTACTGGGGGTGCCTGGGTGGCTCAGTTGGTTAAGCATCTGACCTGACCTCAGCTCAGGTCATGATCTTGAGGTTCACGAGCTCGAGCCCCACATTGGGTTCTGCTGTCAGTGCAGAGCCCGCTTTGGATCTTCTGTCTGCCTTCCCCCCGCCCCCTCCTACCTGTCCTCAGTCTCTCTCTCTCTCTTAAAAACAAACATTAAAAAAAAAAAAACCACACAAGTAAGCAAAAAATAATTATAAATTATTTTTTTAATGTAAATGATTTCTTTAGATCATATTGCATGGTCAACAGTACTTGGTCTGCTGACTGTGAAGGAGACTGAGTGAGATCAAAGCCTCTTTGCCAGTTACAAATAACATGAGAACATGTCACGGACTCGGGTCTACACCCACCCATATGATTCGGCAAGCTGCTCTGAATGACCGAACCAGAACTTACTTGGTGGGACGATAATCCGGAATGGAACGATCCAGTGAAATTTTTTCACTGAGGTAGGAATTGTAGCCATACTTCTCATGGGGTCCTTTGGCTTTTTCTTCTTCAGCCGGGGAAAGGGTAGCGGGAAGGCCCCCTTTGCCCCGCCCACCATAACCTTCGATGAGCCCAAGGGATTTGGATAAGCCTAGAAAATGAAGGGAAAAAGAATTCTTTGAAAACCACCACATCAGGACACGTCACTCCAGCTTAGCTATGGCTTCAATGGAAATTCTAACATTACCTGTCACTGAAAAAAATTATGTCCCCAAGTTATCAATCCAGGACTATGCCCTGACCACATTCATATTGAGAGGAAGTTCAGGGCAACTGGGAGTTCTGGAGTTGAGTCTAATTCCCAGTAAGAAGCCTCTCCCTCCCTTGGGGAACTGACCGGATGGAGGTCTATAAAAGGGAGAGATTATCTAAACTGGGAGCAATGCAGACCAAGGAGGACACAAGAAATGGGACAGAACTGGGGCTCTCAGCCAGGCTGGCTTTCCTGTCTCCATGGGGGCAATTTCAAGGCTTCCTATTTCACGAGATGCTCATACAACACAGAATAAGAACAGCTTGTAACAGGGAATGGCCAAACCAGCAGGTGTTTTTGCTTCATTTGAACAGAGAATGACATACAAATTGATTTTATCATGAGTTTAAAGTGTGTAACAACTTGACACAGTTCTTTACCTAATGGTTTTATTTAAATTTCATCTAAATGGCAAAAGGAATACACAACGTTTGAGAATAAATCATAGAGAGAAAAGCCCCATAAGGGTGATAACCGTGCCAAGTCGAGTAGGAGGCCCCTGTAACAAGCCTCACTGAGCAACTGCAAGTTCCCAGGATGGTGGCAGCTTTATACCTACTGTTCCATTATATGATAAACAGTTTGATGGGCAATTTTGAAATCCAAGAGTTACGAGAGGTTTTACTTCTCGCCCAAAAAACTTTTGCTGTTAAGGGCTCTCCTTCCTTTTTACCATTTCAAATATCCAAGCAACTCAGCATATACTCGGGCATGCTGGCATGCACGCGTACGCGCGCGCGCGCGCACACACACACACACATACACACACACACCACTTTATCCATAAAAGTCCCATTGCTGCCTCTGGCAGGAAGAAAGCAGAGGAGAGTGTAAACAGTGCCCTCAGCTTTCATGATGGGCAGCCCACGGAGCTGAGGAGGGTTCGAACCTCCCAGGAAGGCATCCCCAGACCAGTCAAAGGCCAATAAATCTGCTCCGGTCACAGAACGGGTCTCCATCACACAATGGCAAGACTCGCCTGCTTCTCTGAAAACACAAATGTATTTTCTGTGATATCGAGATCAAAAAGCAGAGGTGGAGCAAGCATCTCAGAGGTGGTCTCTGGCAAACATCATTTTTCTACTTGAGAATCGTTTCCACTGTCCACGATGATCTTCAGGAACCTGACATCTTTTCTGCCCGCCATCATCCCAACAGAGGCGACATCAACTGAGAAATAGATTATTCTAGCACTTCCCATCGACTTCTCGATCTCTGATTTCTCATTCTGCATCAGGGTCCCAAACACATTCCAATAAATCACCTTCATGGTGCTCGAAAATCTCTAAGAACTCTTCCCACGTCAAGTACAAAGACACACCTGTGCTGGATTTAAAACTCACTCGTGGTAGAACACTCCTAGTAGGACCATAAGATGGTGCAGCTACTTTGGAAACTAGTTTGGCGGTTCCTCAAAACGGTAAGCATCGTTTTATCACATGACCCAGCAATTCCATTCCTGTGTACAGCCCGAAGAAAAAGGAAAAGATCTGCCCACGCAAAAACTTGTCCGGAAATGTGCATAGGGGCATTATTCAGATTAGATCCATATCTACCAATTGTTGAATGAACACACAAAATGTAGAACCATACCACGAGATACTATTAAGCAATAAAAAGGAAGGAAGTAGCAATACACACTACAACGGGGATGAGCTTTGAAAACATTACGCCAAGTAGTATTTATGATTCTGTTTATATGAAATGTACAGAACAGGCAAATCTCCAGAGACAGAAAGTAGATGAGTATCTGTTTTGGGCTGAGGACATTGTGGTAGGAAATGGGGAGTGACTGCTAATGTAGACGAGGTGTCTTTTTGGGTAGGGGTAATGTCCTGGAATTAGATTGTGGCGATATCTGCATAAACTTGCGAATACACTAGAAGCCATAAAACTGTATACCTTTTAAGTAGATGAATGATATGGTATGTGAAAATATCTCAATAAAGCTATCAAAGAAAATCTACTTTGCGATAGACAATTCTGTTTCTAACAAGATGGAAGGCTGAAACAACATGAAAAGTCTCCGGTAAAATACCTAGAAATGCTGAATAAAAACATTTTAAGGATGTTTTAGATGCATCGCTGAGCTTGCAAGAAAGAAAAGCAAATTCTCAAAAGTAAGACACAATCAGAGCTGAGACTGTACCTGCTGAGACAGAGAGAAGGATGGATTTCTCTTTAATACAAGACGTATTGTAGAGCTCTAACACGCACAGGATATGAGACCTTTTGTATGCCTTAAATGTTTCAAAATTTTAAATGATGAAGGTGCTGGGATGGGTGGTGGACCCCTGTCTACCCAGAACTGTGAGTATGACTTTATTTGGAAATAGGGTCATCACATATATAATCAAACCAAGATCACTGGTATCCTCATAAGAAGAGAGATGTGGAGATACAGACACAGAGGGAAGAAGGCCATCTGACAGAAGATGCAGATATTGGAGGATGCACATGTCAGCCAAGGAATGTCAAGGATTGCTAGCAACTGCCAGAAGCTAGGAAGTGGCAAAGAAGGATTCTTCCCTAGAGCCTTCAGCCGGCTGGCCAACACCTTGATTTCAAACTTCTAGCCTTCAGGACTATGAGAGAGGAAATTTCCATGATTTTATGCCACTGAGATTGTGGTCACTTGTTATAACGATGTCAAAAAAAAAAAAAAAAAAAGAGTGGAGGGGGTCTGGTTGTCTCATTTGGTTGAGTGTCCAACTTCAGCTCAGGTCATGATCTCATGGTTCTTGAGTTCAAGCCCTGTGTTGGCTCTGTGCTGACAGTTCAGAGCCTGGAGCTTACTTCAGATTCAGTGTCTCTCAATCTCTCTCTCTCTCTCTCTCTCTGCTCCTTCCCTACTCATGCTCTGTCTCTTGCTCTCTCAAAAATAAATAAACATTAAAAAATATTTTTAAAAATCTTGTAGAATAGTGCTAAAGCAATACTTGGAAAGAACTATATAACCTTAAATGCATATATTGGGGAGTAGACTGATAATTAATGAGGTAAGCATCTAAGCTGAGCAAATGGAGGAAACCCAAAGAAAGCAATAATAAACAAAAGAACAGAAATGAATGGCTACACATGCACAAAAGGCAGCAAGGAAGGAAGGAAAAAGTGGAAGGGAGGCATAGAGAGAAGGGAGGGAAAGAGGAAGGAAGGAAGAAAGTGAAGAGGAGGAAGGACTGGCAGAGGGAGGAAAAGGGAAAAACTGAAAGAAAAGAAAAGGTGGTGGGGGAGTAACCTCAGCAAGACTACATTAGGATAGATAATGGATGGATTGATTGATCAAAGGATTGATTGATCGATAGATACAAGATAGACAGGTGGAAGAATAAATGGATGGATAGATGGATGGATAAATGGATGGATGTATAGGTAGGTGATAGGTAGACAGACAGACAGACAGACAGACGGACAGACGGACGGATGGACGGATGGATATGTAGGTAGGTAGGTAGATAGATAGATAGTTTGATTGATTGATAGATAAAGAGAGAGGCACATGTACCCTTCACAGAGGATTTATCTGTTCATCACAGTAGACACAGAGTCTAGAGTCCATGATAATTCTAGGGGCCCAGGAAAATGTTTAAATTTATTTTAAAATCAAAAGAGCATAGTCATAAAATAGATTTTCTAATACCATTTTTAAGTGGAGGAAGAAATTCACAAAGGCCAAAGCACCTAGAGTCCACAAAAAGTCCTTTTGTGGCCCTTATTCCCTTGAGGTTAGATTCTCACCCATAAGTGACAAGCGCCGAAAGTACAGAGAAGCAACATAACAAGATCTAAGGCGTAACTTACAAACTTTCTCTAGAAGGTGCATCACACAAGGACAGACCCAGGCACGAGCAGTAGTGGCAGCTACCATTAACAGAGGAGCATTTACTGCATGCTGGGCACCCAGCTGAGTGTCCGACAGGTGCTGTGCTGTTGTATCACCGATTCTCTTGACAACGCCACGAGGAAAGTGTTATTTAGATCTCTGCTTGACAAATGAGGACATTGAGTCTGAGAATGTAGTAATTTTGTCAAAGTTCCATAGTTGGTAAAGGAAGACAGACTGGGGTTCTGGTTATAGTTAGAGATTCAAAGGAAGACAAAACCCGGCCTCTGTGACAAATAAGGAGGCCAGTTTCAGGGCTCTTGCAGCAGCTGACAAGAGATGGCAGGAACCTCATTTTAAGTCAGTGGTGACAGTGATCAAAAGGAGAGGAAAGATTTGGTAAATATTTGAGAGATACCATCACAAGGCAGGAGACAGGTAAGTGTTAGAGGGGGAAGGAGCAGGAAGAAAGGAGTGGGCCTGGCTTCCAGTGTGAGGACTGAATGGTAACACCACTCACAAAGATGACTTCTGTACTGCATTTGCGGCCTCTGGGGCACCCATGGTGCATTCAGATAGAGCCCAATGTCCAGTGGGGAGCTGAAACATCTGAGAAGGGAAGTTCAGGTGGCAAAGACTAAGATACAAACCTGGAAACCACCAGCATGGCGGGAGCGTAGCCATGATAGAGGGCAGGGCTGGAAAGCTGGAGACAGATACCAAGCAGCAAGAAGAAGAGAGAGATGATGCTCAGAAATTTCACGATACCTAGGGTAGGAATTGCATTCTTCAAAACTTATATCTTCACCGCTCTATACACGTGCTCCTTCATTGACGCTACACTCGAAGGTCAAGACTTCAAGGAACCCAGACTTCATGGAAGGGAGAACTATCTCAGTATGAACCATGTGGTTAAGCTTCTTGCTTGTCTTCATAGATCCATGCGACCACCCTCTCTCCACCTATTAATGATCACTGATTTGGCTTTCATATTTTTAATGGTTTTATATCCATT